CCTGTCAAACTGTTTGTAAGATTTCCTCTGAAGAAAACCACAAAAAACATACAAAAATCCAGACATTCTACTGTCAAAAGCCATGCCTTTTTAAAGTCAGGCTTCCACATGCCACCAACTTTCAAAAAAACAAGTTGAATCATCTCCCAACTTTTAATGAAAGCAAGATATCACCAATCAAAAAGACTCCCACTGCTTGACACAAAACATTTGTCCTTTATTTCTTTGAAAATGTATGGGATCAAAAATATATCTATGCTACAGGGCACCGGTTTTTAACCTTGAAGCCTTTGGGCTATCATATTCACAGAGCCAAACAAAGGTACAACTTTTCAATTTTAGGGTCATCATAGGACATGGGTTTTCAGATCACTAGCCATCATGTTGACAGGGCCAAAAACCAAGGCAACAAAAGCACATACCAAAGCACAGCCCAGAAGAGTGTCCTGCAAGTGACCCACAAGAGTGTCCCACAAGAGTGTCTCACAAGAGTGTCCCACAAGAGTGTCTCACAAGAGTGTCCCTTAAGAGTGTCCGACAAGAGTATCCCACAAGAGTGTCCGACAAGAGTGTCCCACAAGAGTGTCCCACAAGAGTGTCCTAGAAGAGTGTCCCACAAGAGTTTCCTACAAGATTGTCCCGCAAGAGTGTCCTGCAAGTGACCCACAAGAGTGTCCTACAAGAGTGTCCCACAAGAGTGTCCTACAAGAGTGTCCCACAAGAGTGTCCTACAAGAGTGTCGTGTAAGAGTGTCCCACAAGAGTGTCCTGCAAGTGACCCACAAGAGTGTTCTACAAGAGTGTCTCACAAGAGTGTCCCACAAGAGTGTCCCACAAGAGTGTCCCACAAGAGTGTCCTACAAGAGTGTCCCACAAGAGTTTCCTGCAAGAGTGACCCACAAGAGTGTCCCACAAGAGTGTCCTACAAGAGTGTCCCACAACAGTGTCCCACTAGAGTGTCTCACAAGAGTTGCCCTTAAGAGTGTCCTACAGGAGTATCCCACAAGAGTGTCCTACAAGAGTGTCCCACAAGAGTGTCCCACCAGAGTGTCCCACAAGAGTGTCCCACAAGAGTGTCCTACAAGAGTGTCCCACAAGAGTGTCCCACAAGAGTTTCCCACAAGAGTGTCCCACAGAGTGTCCCACAAGAGTGTCCTACAAGAGTGTCCCACAAGAGTTTCCGACAAGAGTGACCCACAAGAGTGTCCTACAAGAGTGTCCTACAAGAGTGTCCCACAAGAGTGTCCCACAAGGGTGTCCTATAAGAGTGTCCCGCAAGAGTGTCCCACAAGAGTGTCCCACAAGAGTTTCCTACAAGAGTGTCCTACAAGAGTGTCCCACAAGAGTGTCCTACAAGAGTGTCGTGTAAGGGTGTCCCACAAGAGCGTCCTGCAAGTGACCCGCAAGAGTGTTCTACAAGAGTGTCTCACAAGAGTGTCCCACAAGAGTGTCCTACAAGAGTGTCCCACAAGAGTGTCCCGCAGAGTGTCCCACAAGAGTGTCCGACAAGAGTGTCCCACAAGAGTTTCCTACAAGAGTGATCCACAAGAGTGTCCTACAAGAGTGTCCTACAAGAGTGTCCCACAAGAGTGTCCCACAAGAGTGTCCTATAAGAGTGTCCCGCAAGAGTGTCATTTGGACATATTAGTTTTTCGAACGTGTTTGCATTCGGGTTCGTGGGTTCCATCTTGTTCATTTGGTGTTTTGATTGTGTGACATGTGTTGTGGTGTCCTTGTTTAAAGGGAAGTGTTTGCGGGAGCATTTCAATAATAATCAATTCAAATCAACTCAACGGGTTCCCACTATAAACTAAGGCTATTGTGGTTTTATAGATTAGAATCACAGTACATAGTACATAAAAAGGTTGCTATTTTGGAGAGCAACCACCTAAGGTTGGCTGGGGTCTTTTTTGGCTGTCTCTTTGTCATGTGGGGGCAATGAGGTGGAGATGGCTGTGTCTCAAATGAGGAGTCAGATCAGATTAATGTGGTACGGAGGAACCAAAATGGTTTGTCCGGGATGAGTGTGTGTGTGTGCGTGTTCATCGCTATACTACATATACCGTTCCTATTGTTGGGGCATGTTGGGGTTAGTGTTTGTTGTCTTGAAGTGCATCTTTGGAAACGATGCCAGGTCTGCCAGGTCTCATTCTTACGAGAATATGATGAACTCTGGCCCGTTCAAGCTTCGGACCTATATTCATGACTAGTGAACAGGGTGGGTTTGCCACGACCTGCAGGTCACCACTAGATTCAGATCTGCATATCCCCAAAGCACCTACACCTTAGATTATGCCTGGGTTTTGACGGGTCGGGTTCATCCGCCTCATCTGCCATGGATCGGGTAGAAGTCATATCTTATCGCTTGAGGAAAGTGTTTGGACATCATCACCTTCCAGAAGGGCCTCGATCGCGGCCGGAGCTGTGCCACGTGCGATGACGCGTCTTGGGCGTGGTCATCGTCCTTCTGTTTTGGGAGCAACGAGTGGAGTGTTTGTTTTGGGGTGTGCTCAACCTGTTCTGGCTACATGTTCTGACCATTGCTGAAATGACAGTCTGGGTGATGAGATCTGTGACTCCGAGAAGTGTGGAGAAGAGTGTAATGACAGAATGCAACTCTAGACTCTAGACATCCACGTCCTTTGGTGTCAACCCCATCCATAGTGCCGCACATGCTCCTTCATTCATGATTCATCACGATTCTACATGCTTTTGGGGTTTAACTTGTTTTGCCTACAGCCTGAGAGCCTGAGAACCATAGTAGCAGTAGCAGTAGTAATTGGTAGTCGTCGTCATCGTCGTCGTCGTCGTCGTAGTAGTAGTAGTTGTTGTTGTTGTCCTTGTCGTTGTGGTTGTTGTCGTCCATCGTGCGTGCTCCACCCGAGTTTTTGAGGTGTGAGTGTGGTAGCCCAACCACAACCACAGGAAGGGTAACTATCTTGAACTCATGTAGGTAGTGCACAACTTCAATGTTTAAACCATCGTAGATGATCGTAGATTCGTTCTTTGGGTCATGTCCGAAGGATTCCGAAGCCCCCCCAAGCTGAGGTGGCCAAGATGGCTTGTCATGGCCAAGGCCATTGCCACACGGTCTCCTCCACGATGGCGGCCTTTCTGTTTCCCTTCGCCCAGGCGGGAAGGTTGGAGGTTCGGTGGTGGAGAGGAACTAGGCTTTGCATGGAATAGATGATGGATTAGTCTCAATGTATAGTAATAGTCATTTGTTGAATCAGTGGGCAGGTATTAGATGCAAGATGCTGGGGGTATAGTTGGAAAGATTTTGGACCAGCTGCAAAGACTAGGGCAGTGAACAATTCTTCCTGGTGCTTGATACTACTGAATGCTACACTCACGCTGTGATCTATGATGGCAGTGTGGAGGTTTTGCGAGTCCGACAAAATGGTGCCCGTAGTGGCAATTTGGGCTTCCGCCGAGTGCAAAGGCACATCAATGGTGTTGTCCTCAACGTGTCCCTTTGTCAGATGTTGCACTGTTGCACGTTTGCATAGGACGAACCAATAGTCCTTTCTGGTCATTGCTGAAAGGCAGATTCTCCACCATGCTCGAAATGGCCTGGCCTGCTGGGTTCTCACGGTGACATACAGTGAGGGCGAGCCATACCAGCATTATAATCATTATATAATAAAGGTCGTGGCTTTGCCCGCACCAAATACGCCGGCCAAAGCAAGGCATGATCGGCCAGAACGCAGGGCGAGGATTATAGCAGTGGCTGCTCCAAGTAGATCTCCCGAATCTGTGTTGGCTTCCTCCACGAGCCTGTGCACAAAGGCTGGGGCATCTGGCAGGTATTCCTGATCATTCCTTGAAGCAAGGCACGTTAGCTTGTGCAAGCGGGTTTTTGCTTCGTGTTGGATATTGGCTTGGAGCGGGAAAAAACCCTTCCGCGGAACGTGCCCGAAGAGGCGGCCAGTTGGCGATCTTCATTTTCTTTGCCAACGCACGGTTCGTCCAATCAGTCGAATTGGCCAAGCAAGTGATGACCAGCGACCATCACGCTGAGGGATTTGGCTGAACATCACCACGCTTGGCTGCTTTCGTGTCTCAATGAGGGGATCGCCAGACGGGACGCGAATCCAGGAATCCAGGATAAGACTCAAGTAAATGGGCGAGTTCGTGTGAGTTCCGGCGCTACTTTGGGATAGTAAGGTTATGAGTTATCATCAACTTGAGCAATTTGGAGAAACACATCACATATCAAAATAAACCTAGAACCTGATTAACCCCTGTTTTGGAGCCAAAATACGGTCTTTTGCTTCAAAACAGAAGTCAAATGGGTTCTAGGTATATATACGGTATATATACACATACACACACTTCCGTTTATTTTCACCAGATCACCAGATCACTCGCTTGTGGGATATGTCCAAGCGCGAGGTGCTGGGCTTGGACGTGAAGTACCGCGGGGGCTACTCCTGGGGCGGAGTGAACATGGGCGAACCCGCAGACGAGACGGTCGAGGTGGCCGACAGCCCTGAACCTTGGCAGTTGGAGACAGCGAACGGAGGAAGACGTTGAGAGTGAGGTGAAGTGAGTGAAGTGAGTGAAGTGAACATCTAAGTGGTGATCCTTTTTAGTGGTGATCCTTGTGCCTCTTAAAGCACCGCTTTGTTCCGCTTGGTTCCTTTTTTCCGTTTCGCATCTCACCGGTCTCACCAGGCTATCTACACAGATGTAGCTGATCTCCAATGTTGTTAGACCTCTAGAGGACGGAGGCACACCTACTTCTTGTCAGCCGCTGTTGGCCTTGTATCAACTACGCGGAACATGTCAGTATTCATGTCAAATACTCTCAACATGAGAGTGCCAGAGGGACTGCCATCCCCTACAAGCCAAGAGATGTAGAGACTAACACGAGATTTGCCTTTGCATCCAGCACACAGCTTCCTTTGTGGTGATGGTGTTAGATCAGCCATGATCAGCCAATGATTCAGCCATGCTAATGCAAGATGGGTTGCGGTCACTGGGAGAGATGGCTTGAAATGTGCTTCTGTTCTCGCATGGGTCTGTGGCGATTGCTTCGAGTACTGAATGTCGGACGCCGTGAAAACGAGTGAAACGAAGGAACGACATCAATGGCTGGAAGTGACGTTACGCCCTTCGCTGCAGAGCTACTTTGGCGGAAAAGAGAGATCGATCCGAATCGATTCCAATTGAGAGCGCCACTCGAGTGGCCGGATCCGCTTCTTCGAAACCTGGTCATATTGGTTCTTGCTTCCAGATGCTTCGAGATGCTTCAGACCAACCTGGTCAGGAACTAGCTTCGAGATGCCTTCGGATTTTACATCAATCTCTGGAAGACCGTGCTTCGGGACAACCCAGAGGGTAGTGAGGGCAGGAAATGTCAATGAACTTCAACCACAGCAATTCTGTTTCCTTTCACGGCACCTGCACGGACTCCTGCGGACTGCGGAAGGGTGGAGAAAGAGCAGCGAAGAATCGATGGAACACGGACGGTAGACGGAAAGTAAAGGAACGTCCGTGCAGTGAGCGCCAGATATATCGATAGGATAGTGACATCACCTTTTACCTCCCAGGTATACCCAGGCCCCAGGCATATTGGCCCCTGTAGGTTTGCGGGTGCGGTCCTGGCAACTCTTTGCGAACAATCGAAGTATGAACCGGAAGTTCTTGCTGACTCACTGGTGCCCATGAAAAATATAAAAAGATCACCTGCTTGTTGGGAGAAATCCCAGTCAAGCCGCCCTTTCCAGGCCCATTCATTAGGAAGAGATGCAGGGATAGATGAGAGGATGAGAGGTTTGGGTGAGAGAAAACCGCAGTGAGATGGGGCTTTTTCATGGATTTCTGCGGTGGTAGGCAGCCAAGAACCTCTCCAGTCTCCGGGTCATTTCCATTGGATTTCTCCAGTCTGACACAGGAGTTCCTGCGTGCTCTGACACACAGTCGCACCGTCGCTGGCTACCCCCACGTCGCTCCAGCTGCCTCCACCAAACCCCCCAACGCCGAGGCTATGTGTGTGATCTTTGGGTGGCCGATGCAGTGGGGAACGATGCCCTTAAATGGCCCATCAGTGAGGTGCGGAATCGGGGGAGTCACCGGTATCATGTCCTGAACAGGTGAGTTTGCTTCATGGAAAGGAGCTGAAAGACGTGATTGTACGAATTCAAATTAATTGCTTTTCCTTCGAGCTCCCTTTTGACACTGTTGACCATATTTGTTGATGGAACAGATCCAATCTAGCAATTTCTGGAACCTTCTGTCATACTGTAACACCTCATGTGGTTGTCCCAATTTTCTTCCTCAAATTGTCCACGCAATGACTTCGTGCGGCTCAGACCCAGTTTTGCGATTGGCAACTATTGATTCTTACTGGTTATGTTTGAGAATCCGAGTGCCAATGACCTACGCAAAGAAACGTGGTTGTTCCCGGGGTCTCAGACAGGGGTTTCCCATTCAGTGAACTAGAAGTGGAAACGAACAGAGCCTGATATCTAGTAATTAGTGGTCCCCAAATGGATCGCGATTCTTACTCCAAAGGATACTGTCAAACTGAGAACAACAGGTTTGCCAGTGCTTGACTTTCCCATCTACTGTATTTGGGTCTCATTGTAGAGGATCCCATATTGCAGTGACCGGCTTTTGAGGAGAATATACACGAAAGCGAAATTAGTGTGTGAAATCCCTTCATTTGTAGACAAATCCAAAAGGTTTATTGGTGCTTCTCACAGCTTTCCACAATCTTGTGGGGGTGCTGCACAGTATGTAGTCGACCAGGTGATGAAACGGAGTTGAGCAGATGTAAACTGATCCGCACCTTGGTCCATCAATATTCTCTGACACACTTCCTCTAAAAACAAACCTACATTGACCCTTGGTATTCCGACAGAAGATGACGCCCTTCTGCACGCAGGCCTATCAGAACCGGCTGTACCCCAACGGCAGCTTCAATATCGGACAGCAAAGCTGTCCCGAGGAAGCTACTGATCTTGACTTGCCAGAGCTGTAAACAGTTGTGATATGATGTGATCCGTTTGAGGATCCTCTTTGGTGAGAAGTCAGGCGGGTCGCTCGCTTGCGTGTGATGGTCGCACACGCTTGTTATGGTGACTACTGACCCTGTGCGAGCACCTGTAAAATATATGTTCCCTCTACACATGGTTGGACTAGGAGTCTTGAGAAAGGTCGAGAATCAAGCTGCTTGACACCGCACTAGCAATTAGGTGGCTTGGGAATGCGTGTTTTTCGTTTCAAGGGCATTTTGCATTGCCTTCCTGATTGGATACAATTGTTTTTTTGTTACCATCCCAAGCGTGTGGGGCATTTGGATGACCTAACACAGAATTCGAATTGATATCCTGAAAAAAAACTATAAATAACAATGGTTGGACAAATATTCCTAGATTGATAAATATTTTATTTTGTATCGGGATTAATTGTAATTCATTCTATAGATATCTTTAGAATATTACTTTAATAATTAGATCATTAAAATAGGATATTATTAACAATATCTATATATTTTTTATGTAATTAATTACTAAATAATGATCATATATATTTATCCTAGGTCTAGAAATAAAGAAATAGACGGTTTAGAGATTTAGATGCATTGGGCTTTAGAGAGAGGTGATGGTGATGATGGAGGTGATGTTGATGATAATGATAATGGATATGATGATATTGATGGGAATGGGGATGGTGGACATGGGGGTTGGAATGGATATGATGAGGATGACATATGGAAATGGGAAAAATAATAATATATGGATATAATATATATGAATTAATATAAATTATAATATAGAGGATGGATGGAAAAAATATATATATATTATATTATATATATAATATATATTATTAATGAATTTGTATTTATGGGAATTATATTTGTATATATTATAGAATTGATATTTATAGAAATATATATATATATATTTATTTAATTTATTGGACATAATTATATTAGGATGGAATTATATTTTTTTTCGATATTTTTGAGGATATTTCTTTTTTTATTCTTGATTATTTCTCTTTCGCTTTGGATTTTGGAGGTTTTAAACCTAAATTTGAGGATTATTATCTTTGTTGAATTTTCATTGGCAATGGTTGGTACGAGGATTTTTTTTTCTTCTTTACTAGGTAGGGGGAATGCATTTACAGACGGCCACATTTTGTCTTAATCTAGATGCCAAAGGTTTAAATATATTTGGCATCGTGTATGTCGACGAGCAATCCGTGAAGGATACACTAACTACCATGGACGCATATTATGGGCCAAAAAGGAACCCATGAGGTTCCGCATATTTTGACCTGATATCCAATAATTGAGGCCAAAATAGATCCTAATCTGCCGTCCTACTTCTGAACCCGTTCTGAAGATTTTTTCTTGGAATGCTGGAAATGGCCTGAATTATAATGAATGATTTCATTGGAATGATAGAAATGGCTATGACATTTTGTTGGTTCAAGAAATAGGCTGGATTCTTTTTGGTAACCAATGGATTACAATCATATGGATATAACAATCCATATTGCTAGCGCCAGAGCCTCCTAGCTGCTGATGATTAGACGAAATACAATTCCATCCATGCAGGTATCATTCGATACCATTCTTCCTGGATGTTTGATCCATCTGCGCTTGAATCTCAAAAGGGTTCATGATATTTTTTGTGTGTATCAATATGCTTGAAACCCCACCAGGCCACGTCTGAGTTGTTGATTGACAGACAATATTTGTGGCAACATCTAGCTGACGGAATTCGACGCATACCAAAGAATCACATCATGTTCGTTGCTGGAGATTTCAAAATTTCATTGACCTTGGCAGCACCGAATATCTATACTCCAGACACAAAGTTTGACAAGGCCCCGCACAGTGACAAGTTTGTCTTTCAGGAATTGATAGCTGAATTTATATTAATTGCAATGCACTGCAAATAGACGTTTAGATTCATTTTTTTTGTATGGGTCATACGCCTCCAAAATTGATTATATATTCATTCGGGGGCATCAGATCCGTTGGAAGCAATTGAATCCCCATGTGCATTATAAGTTTGAGCGCATTCATGATGTCATTGGTCCGATCCATAGGCCCCTGAATATCTCATTGCCCAGATGGTTTGCCACGCCTAATACTAATTCTTATCCGTATCCTATCGATCGCTTTCGGTTTCGACAGGAATTTCGTGGCCAAACGCCCTGCTGGCATGAGTTTGACACAACTGCACGGGGCCGCATTGCCGCTCACAGAACCAGGAATGAAGCCAATTATGACCCAATGATTGTTCAAAGTCGTGTACTCGAACTTGAACTCAGACAATTATGCATTGATTTCTTTCCAAGGGGGAAACGAACACGCACACAACTGCATCCACTGGGTTCCATCACATCTCAGATGGGGACAGCACGCCGGGTAGTGAAACAATATATGCAGCCATCATTGCTGCATTCCTTTCGATATTGGCAATTGCAAACACGTTTTCATCAACTGCATCATAGAATGCGACTCTACAGCCGCCTGAATCGTCGACACAGACTTGAAACATTCATGAAGGAGAGTGCTGATCTCATGCTTCGTCATCAAATCTTGGATTGGTGCAGACTTCTGCATTGTGCCCCAAATAGACTTGGCAATGAATCCAGATGTATAATCAATATGGAGCCTCACAAATGCCTCAAGAAGAACTTCATCGCATTGTCACACACTATCAAGATCTGTGTGTTGATGAGACATACCAACCTCATCCCCCTCCGGGCCTTGTAACACTGCCGTTTATTGAGGTACAATTTGATGACCAGATCAATCGACTTCCGTTCACCATGCCAACTATCCTCTAGCGACACTTTGCCTCAGAATTGACGTCATTAGCATTTCAAAATTCAACAATATTGGTGTCACACCACAAGTAGACCTCCAGAATGCTGGTCCACAGATTGGATCCACCTGTTGTATAAACCACAGAAGCCCCCTAATAAGCCTGAAATTCCGAGACCTATATGCTTGCAACATCCAATGAATAAGGTTTTCATTGGATTGCACTGTCAGCTTTTGCATGAACATATTTTATCTCAACTTTGTCGCAGGCCCTTATACGCATATCCGCCAGCACGTGGCACCAAGGACTGTCTTCTGATCGTCTTAGATCATTGCAGAAGGGTGAGAGATTTGTGCGCTTTACCAGAGAAATCCTGACCCTGTTGGGATTTGGGGTGGCTTGCAAATGTCACTAGATTTTGAGGAAGCCTTCGATATTGTAGGCCGTGACCATGTCTTTAAAGCCCTGGAATTATTTGACCTATTCCCCGATCTTAGACATTTCATCAACTTACGGTTGCTTCCTCATGACTATTGCCTGTTTCACAAGGATCTCGTAGGCAGATTTCGGGTCCATCGTGGTTTCAAACAAGGTGCCCGTGATGCCCCCTTGTTGGGGATTGTGTGTATGGGTCATTTCCTGCATCAGCTCCTCGCTGCTCATCCCATCGAGTGGATTCGGCAATATGTTGTTATTTTGTTGATGACATTCATTTTCGTTGGATTATGGATTCCACGCACACGACACAAGAAGCTATCCATGACCTCGTCGACCTGGTTCGACGATTGCAGACTGCTGGATTTCATATGAACACTCAATAGACGATGTGACAGCCTTGACCCCAGCCTATCCTACGTGCCACATTCCAATACCCACAATCGATGCGGACCCGTGTGCACACGCTGGAGACCTTCAATGTCCTGATTGCAGTAGGACCTTCACCCAGGCTGGACCCTGGAAGAGATACATGCGCTCATATCACCAGATACCATGTCAGATAGAAGATATCTTTGTTATATTTCGCGACACAACCAGTGGTTTTCCGACTTGTGCTCACTGCACCAAGCATTTTGCTTACATGTATCGATTACATGACTATATCAATCGTCGAGTTTGTTTGCAATTCAACCCAGCCAAGGACAGAATCGTACCCATCAATGACCGTCCGGACCTGCGCATGCACTTGCGCCATCGTTCAGTGCCTCAGTCGCTCCGCCTTGTTTCAGACCTTCATCCAGGAGCTGATCACGCGTGGTGGGAAACTCAAGCTCGACCAAAAAAAAGACGAATTGGTGACCACTTTAATCACCAAGGGAGTGCCCACAAGAATGCCAGGCACTGAACGATAGCGCAAGTGCATGCGTAGGTCCGGACGGTCACTGATGGGCGCGATGCTGTCCTTGGTTGGGTTGAATTGCAAACAAATTCGATGATTGATATGGTCACGGAGTCGATACATGTTAACCAAGTCACGAAGTACAATAAAGATATCTCCTATCTGACATGGAATCTGGTGATATGAGCGTATGTGTCGCTTCCAAGGTTCCTGTTGCATTCAGGACATCGAAGGTCTCCAGCCTGTGCACACGGGTCTGCATCGACTGGGGGTGTTGGAATGTGGCACGCAAGATAGGCCGGGATCAAGGCTGTCACATCGTCAACGGTCGAGTGCATGGCTTCAAGTGTCAGCTGAGATTGAGTGTGGCTCCAGTTATATATATCAATCTATCAAAGCGCTGCTGCAATGCGATCCATGGCCTGTGTACCTTCAGGTGTAATGCCCATTTCAAAACTGTGGCCAGAACACATTGTCGATAAAGACAAAAGTGCAATGCCAGTTGATGGTGCCTGTCTGTGAGCCACCTGGGGAGAATTTGAAAAGATGTTTGTGCTGCACGAATCCTGCATATGACAATATCATTTTCCTAAGCTCTATAATTGCCAATTGCCGATGTTGCCAAGGTACGAAATCTTACCTACAAGCCATACTATATGTGCATGTCTGGAAGCTGCAACATAGGTCCAGTGGTTGGACGACTGCTCCAATGTTGATAAAAGGAGTGCACCTATTTGCTAACGAGTCTCATGGGTGCCACACCCAACGGTCGAATGCATGGTTTCAAGTGTCAATTGAGATTGATTGTGGCTCCAATTATTTTGTCAATCTACCAAGTGTTGCTGCAGTGTGATC